AGGCTAAAGAGTATCTTCAAAAAGCGCTTCTCATCACAACTGAGATTGGCGACAGAAAAGGAGAGGCATCATGCTACGGAAACCTAGGTACTGTGTTTGATTCGCTCGGGCAATACGACAAGGCTAAAGAGTATCATCAAAAAGCGCTTCTCATCAGAACTGAGATTGGCGACAGAGAAGGAGAGGCATCATGCTACGGAAACCTAGGTACTGTGTTTCATTCGCTCGGGCAATACGACAAGGCTAAAGAGTATCATCAAAAAGCGCTTCTCATCAGAACTGAGATTGGCGACAGAGAAGGAGTAGCAGCTGACTACGGAAACCTAGGTACTGTGTTTGATTCGCTCGGGCAATACGACAAGGCTAAAGAGTATCTTCAAAAAGCGCTTGTCATCAGAACTGAGATTGGCGACAGAGAAGGAGAAGCAGCTGACTACGGAAACCTAGGTACTGTGTTTCATTCGCTCGGGCAATACGACAAGGCTAAAGAGTATCTTCAAAAAGCGCTTCTCATCAGAACTGAGATTGGCGACAGAAAAGGAGAGGCATCATGCTACGGAAACCTAGGTACTGTGTTTGAGTCGCTCGGGCAATACGACAAGGCTAAAGAGTATCATCAAAAAGCGCTTGTCATCAGAACTGAGATTGGCGACAGAAAAGGAGAGGCATCATGCTACGGAAACCTAGGTACTGTGTTTCATTCGCTCGGGCAATACGACAAGGCTAAAGAGTATCTTCAAAAAGCGCTTCTCATCAGAACTGAGATTGGCGACAGAGAAGGAGTAGCAGCTGACTACGGAAACCTAGGTACTGTGTTTGAGTCGCTCGGGCAATACGACAAGGCTAAAGAGTATCTTCAAAAAGCGCTTCTCATCAGAACTGAGATTGGCGACAGAAATGGAGAGGCATCATGCTACGGAAACCTAGGTAATGTGTTTGAGTCGCTCGGGCAATACGACAAGGCTAAAGAGTATCTTCAAAAAGCGCTTCTCATCAGAACTGAGATTGGCGACAGAAAAGGAGAGGCATCATGCTACGGAAACCTAGGTAGTGTGTTTCATTCGCTCGGGCAATACGACAAGGCTAAAGAGTATCTTCAAAAAGCGCTTCTCATCAGAACTGAGATTGGCGACAGAAAAGGAGAGGCATCATGCTACGGAAACCTAGGTACTGTGTTTCATTCGCTCGGGCAATACGACAAGGCTAAAGAGTATTATCAAAAAGCGCTTAATATCCAAACTGAAATCGGTGATAAGCGAGGGGAGGCAGCAGCTCTTGCATATCTTGGAAGTATGTCCAGAACTGCTGGAGATTATGAAGCTTCGGAAGTATGCTTGGATAAAGCTTTATCCATATCCAGAGATATTGGAGATAGAAGGAGCGTGTTCCAAATTCTTCAAGAATACGCCATTTTGTATTTATTTCAAAATAAAGTCGAGGACTCCCTTTCTTGTCTTCAACTTTGCATTGAAAAGTATGAGGAGCTCAGATCTTTCTTGGGCGCCAATGATCAGTTCAAAACATCATTTCTGGAGGACTCAGGAATATTTCCCTACAAGCTGCTTTGCACTCTGCTTTGTTACACCGGGAAAACTCGTGATGCTCTTTATGTTGAGGAGTTGGGTCGAGCCAGAGGTCTATCAGACTTGATGGTAGAGAAGTACTCGGTTGAAACGCACATCTCTGCTAATCCACAATCTTGGTTTGGCATTGAAAACGTTTTTAGAAAGAAACACAACTATACTTGTCTGTACATTTCTTATTTTCACAATCATCTGCATTTGTGGATCTTGAAAACAGGTGGAGTCCTTCACCATAGAAGAATATCACCTGAAGAGAATCTAGTTCAGGCCGGGTTGCCCAAAGACTTGCCTCTGAGTGAATTTTTAGCTAAAAATTTCCGGAGTCTTGGTATTTTGCCCATCGAAGATTGTGAAGATCGGTCTTTAAATATGGTTGAATTGCAACCTCTCTCCCCCGAACAAAAGAGCTCAGCAAGGTTGCGACTCCTGGAGGAGGGCGAGGACGAGAAAGTCATTTCAAGTCTATCCTTGTGTTACAAAATGTTTATTGCCCCCGTTTATGATTTGCTTGAAGAGCCTGAAGTGATTATTGTTCCTGACCGCAGTTTGTACAAAGTTCCCTTTGCTGCCCTGAGTGAAAAAGATGGAGCCGAATACCTGTCAGAGACTCATAGGATCCGTGTCATTCCTTCTTTGACGACACTCAAGATCATTCAAGATAGTCCAGAGGACTATCACAGCAACACTGGTGCTTTGATAATAGGCAATCCCAAGGTTGATGGGCTGTCGCCATTGCCAGGTGCAAGAAGGGAAGCGGAGATGGTCGGACGACTGGTGGGTGTTCCCCCCCTGGTTGAAGAAGAAGCAACGAAGCAGGCAGTAATTGAGCGGATAAGTTCAGTGAGCCTAATACATTTTGCTGCCCATGGTAACGCCGAAAGGGGAGAAATTGCCCTCTCCCCCATTCCTTCTGTCAACAGTCGAAACGCTATCCTACCAAAGGAGGCTTACATGTTGACGATGGCTGATGTCTCACGAGTGAAAGTCAGAGCCAAACTGGTGGTACTTAGCTGCTGTCACAGTGGAAGTGGAGAGATAAAAGCCGAGGGAGTTATAGGAATTGCCCGTGCGTTCTTAGGATCCGGTGCTCGCTCGGTGTTGGTTGCGCTGTGGGCCATTTCAGACTCAGCAACAGAGAAGCTGATGAGTCGGTTCTACGAACACCTTGTTGAAGGAGAAAGTGCCAGTGAATCCCTTCATCAGGCCATGAAGTGGATGAGAAAAAACGGCTTGACCAATGTGTCTGAGTGGGCTTCGTTTACGCTGATTGGAGATGATGTTAAGCTCGAGTTCACAAACAGAGGTAAGACTCGGTGAGAACAGGTATTTCATAAATTAAAGTTAAATTAGATTTGAAGCTGGCTATGACTTACTGGTCGCTGACTGTCGGCGGGGATCCTTTGTTACCTTGAACATCAAGGCTAGTTTAATATATACCTATATATATATATTTTTTTTTTTCGAAAAGTTACTATAGACGCTCTCTGCCAATCAGATACAAGTGTTACCCATATACATTTTACATATTGTGCTTGGTATAATTGTATTTGCTTTATATCCTAAATATTAATCGAGTTATTAATAAATTGCTGTTTTTCGTTTTTTTACAGGAAAGCAGACAGAGTAAATAATAAGAGTTACTCGAAGGAAACAGAGCTAAAAGACTTTTAGATGGATAAATTAAATAGAAACAAGTAGAGAAAAGACTTTATCCGTTATTTCATTGACATTTAAAAAAAGAGCTATCCCAAATTAGGATATGGAAGGCTTTTAAATTAAGCGAAATCAGTAAAGTAGTTAGGTATAAAACGAACCACTGAAATCTGGTTTGATTTTTTTAAGGCTTTTGTAAGATTTAATTGACAAAACATGTAATTTCTGACGTTTGAGGGACATGAGAACGAATTAGTCAGAAATTAATATTCTGAGGCACGTTGAATAGGTTCGCATGGCAACACGGTAGTTTCGGATTATTTAAGCGTTTCGCGGGAAAATTAAGTCATTCTACGTCGGTCAGTCTTAGGTTTGACTACTTTCTTTTTTTTTTCCTTTTTTATTTAATGTAATTTTGTTTTACAACTCTCTGTAAAATATCACTGCTTTCATTGAATATTCTGTGTGATTAGTAGTGTGACTAGGTTTATTTTAGTTACCCTTTCCTCGGGGTATAGTGCTGCTGCATTAGATGAGGAATACGTTTCTACATATTTTTTGGCCACTTCTAAAGAGTGGTTTTTTAGTGGTTTTTCGTATCTGGCGTAGCACAGCCTATTTTTGTATAACCCTTCAGTTTCAGTGAATACTTGCAGTACATTGAAGATTGTAGTAGGATGTGTAGACTACAAGATTGGGTGACTCTTCCTAAATAAACTTTCACATTGAATATCTCGCCTGAAAGTAGTCAGAATCTTAAATATTTGAGGAATGATTTTGATGAAGCATCTCAAAAAGAATCCTTGCCAACTTTAGATCTCTGATGCTAGGACTATCCTTCCTGTCATTCCACAGCTTGAGATTTTTCGTGTGCTCCGTGGCTTTAGGCCCTCCATGTGAAGGAACGCGAGATACCATTGATGGTTTTAGTTACAAACAAAATTTCTCAAGAAAATTGCTAGAAACCGTTACACAACTACCCAGAATAAATCACTGATGATTTCAGAACCCCTCCACGACAATTTAGAGCTCAAAATATATTTGAGAGTCTGTCCAAGAGAGGACCGGGCAGGCGTGATACATACCATCTCACCGATTGCTTTCAAACTTTCACAGTTTATTAGGATCATTAAGTTATTCGAGAATCCTGAGTAGTTCGGGCTCCCAGTTAATTATCCCTGGGGTATTAGAGCCCCCACATCAAATCCCTGGGCTAAAAGGCTGAAATTAGCTCGAAAAATGCACTTCCTAAAAATATCTCTCACGCTAATAGAATGGCATGGATTTTAATCTTATTTTGTCCAATAGTTGTTTGAGCCTTAACAAAATGAATTCCTAAAACTGGGGTAATTTGCTTTCGTTTTTGCTGATTTAGAACAGTTAACCATTAACCGGAACTATTCAAAAAGATAAAAAAAGTAGGGATTTTAAAATCTAAATATCTCTAACGGGCAAGATTGTGTATCGACAAACATATGATCATAGAAATTACCTATTATAACACTATGTTTGTAGGCAAAAAAATTTTGGGGCTCTATAAGAGATGCGTGATCACAGCCCTCTGAAGTACGTGACCGTTGACGTTAATTTATGCAATTTTTGCCATAAACTTGATGTTTATTCAGTCAATTTCATGGTGGCATTTCAGATTTTGTCTCCACCGAGTACCTAGCGCTGCGCGATGCTTTGGACAAACGGTTTCATCAGCGTCGTCCTGATTGAATAATCCTCTGGCCAAAATAAGTTCCTTTTCTGACCGAACACATGTCTGAGGCACCTTCAGCTGTCCCAGGTGAGATTTTACATCTTTCTAACAGGAAAACAAAGTAAAAAATTCATTTCCACCTGGATACTTCGCTGATACATCGCACTTTGCGTCGGAATATGATACAAGCGAACATGACAATTGGAACATGACAATTAAGCCCCTTTTCTTAATAGCCTAAACAAGTTGAATTTAAAATACGTAAGTCGAACTTCTCCGGTAAAAGAATCAGTGCAGACTGAGAATATATAGGAGGGGACTACATGCGTTCATTAGTCTTTATTTACTTCTCGTTACAACAATGTTTACACAATTCTTATCAAAAGATCTCTTAGTTGATGAAAAAAAAAACTTAATTCAGTGTGTGATATACATTTACTTAAAAAAGGCCGAGAGGTGTCCCAGGATCAATTCTCACGCGATTGCACCTTTATTTACGTGACCTCTTCCGTTTCCCTGTAAGAATGTTTTTTTTCATTTTCAGCGCCTTCATGGGTTTTTTAAAACATGAACATAAACTTAATAGGTGTTTAACCCTTTATCCCCTGTGGCTGACTTGTATCTATTTTCTCCTTACCATATCATCCCTGAATCAAACATTAAGGTCAGGAGAATAAAGAAACTGATCACCTACCAAAGAAGCTCTTGGTTGTTAGACAAGTTCTCCTTGTCAACACCTTAGGAAATGTTTAGAGATCAGTATAGAGAATATGCATACTGATGTTAGGATGTAAAGGCTTAAGGTAATAAAACATACTCAAACGCTTTTAGAAATGCCCCTGTAGACCGTGCATGAAAACGAGGCTACTATATAAAACATCTTGTAACTTCGTTTATTACAGGAAAATAGCACCAAAATAGAACCAAAGATTTAAGACCCTCGTGTAAATCTATGTTCTCGTTGATGTCTTTTAAAAACGCTCATTTAGTAACTGGGCGTCACATGATTAGTCACGTGACTAAATCAGCATGGAAGTGAGGCTGGGCTGTTAAAAAATATTCCTTTGACCTTCCTACGATGTCTAACATTTTTTGCTATTCTTCATAAACAGCATGGAAATTTATGTCAGCTCAAACTGGAAGTTTGGGTTAAATCTCATGGTTTTCAGGGGGAACGGTGGGGAAATCCGTTGTTGCCTATAGAGTATAAAGGGCAGCCTGTAGATAATTGACTGCCCATTAACTGCCAATGAGGGAAGGGATAACTTAAAGGATATCAGAGAGCTTCTCGAGGGATCGGGTTAATTATCGTGACGCAAGGAAATATCTTTACAACCTCACTTTTTCATGTTTTTTATTTTATGAATCTAACTTTTGTGTAACCAAATTGTTCACATTAGCCAATTGGAGTAAAAATGTTTGATTGCCATGCAGCACCCAGGTAAAAAAAGTTAATATCTGTCCTTGACAGAGGTTCTCCATTCTCCTCAGCAAACATTCCATGGTCCTTCACTCTCACAATCCAAATGTTTGTTCAGATTGTTGCATCCTACTCCAAAACATTGCCCAAGTTGGTTTTTGTTGTGTATGTGCTACTAACTTATGGATGCATGCACTTTTTACTGCTGAACATTAACACCCTCCCATTTATTTTCTGATTTAATTTTTCAGTCATCAAGTGCATTCTTGTTGCTAGTCCTGGCTTTGTCAAGGTTAGTTGTAGAGAAGCACAAACTGTCTAAGTCCTCAAAGAGGCAGTGAAAGAGGAAAGTGGTACATATGATCATGATTTTGCTTTTTCCTATTATCATAATTTTAGCTTTTCAAAGTAAACTTATGATTAGATAAAGAATCTGACTCTGATAGCAACTGTCTAAGAGAGATTTACTTTGTTATAAAGGACTCTTATCACAGCTTTATTTCTGTCCTTTTTGCGTCTGTTTCATGTGATTAATAAGATTTTCAGATGTAGTTGAAAATTTAAAAAAAAAATAAAACTTTAAGCTAATATTAAAAATGAAATAATAGCAGAATTGTAAATCCCTACGGTTCAGCATACGGTGTGTATGGAAAATTTTCCCATAACTTATACCCTTCAGCTCCTCTTCAAGCACAGAAAAATACATTGCGAATCAGAAAGAAGAAAAAGGAAGGCGTATCTCTTAATGTTCTAACTGATAGTGAGAACTAAAGTAATTAAGATGTCCTCTTTTAATTCTTTATGTATATTTTTTATTATTAGTGTTGAGTAACCAATGTGGTGAAGTAGTTGTTTTAAATGATATTTGCAGGATCAGTTTTGTGATTATATGTTCCAACAAGCTGTAAAGAATGATTGGAAAGCAATCATTGATAACAAATCAAAATTCCTCTTGGTAAGTTTAGATTTAAAAATGTTGTAGATTTGTTATAACTTAATTATAACTTAATTGAACTTGGATAGTCTACAGGACGAAGGCCACATGTCTCCTTTTTTAGGCGGGATCAGCCATTCTTTGCGATCTCACGTAACGCTCCCCCAAGTGTTGCATGACATTCAACAGAGCGGCTGTGAAGGGGACTCCAGGCGAACTATACGCGATAAAACTACTACAAAGAAGTTTTTAAGGGGCGGAGCATGGGGCTTATTAGTAGGGGGTGGGGGCTGATGAAACACTTGAAGTTCAAGACGGGGGGCATATTATTAGAGAGGGGGGTTCAATTCAATAGAAAGGGTGGCTTAGTATAGAGGGAGCTTAAGATAGAGGGCGCGGCTCACTAGAGCGTGTACGATTTTTTTTCCTTTTCAGGCTCACTCATCATCGGGTCACAAACATTCGCTCAAAGGTGAGGATATAAAGAACCTTCCACGGATCTCGAAATTGATTTTAATGAAATCACATCTAATGAATTGCAGTCGAGAGGAAACGGCTTAACCCATGTGTTTGTTTTGCATGATGTGCAGAAGTTCTGGCGGATCCTACTGTCACTGCAAGACTTGCAGACACCAAGGTAAGTCGAAATTGTTTAGATTTATATCTTAAAAGGAAAAGTGTTGGTTGGTTGTTGTGATAAACTTTGGTTTTGGTTTAACGACACTCAACTCAAAAAGCATTCTAAATCACAGGTCTCGTCAACAGTTGCAGTGACGAGAAATGTCTCGACGTAGTCGGTTATCCTCTGCTGATTTTTTTTTCTCATTTTACTTGTAACAGGCATCAAGCGAAGTAAAAGCTTTGGATAATTTCTTCACAATGTTACATACAGAACCCGACAGAGCTTATTATGGGTAGGTCTATTTGCTGTGACGTATCCTTCACTTTATTATGATGTTACCTTTTCAGTTCGGTATTATGCAGAAAGAGCAATATTCAATTGAGTGTCCAAAGCATGCGGTTTGCATTTGTTTGTCTTCAACGCTCCTCGTGATTGGTCCGGAAAACTCGCGCCACTCACTCAACCAATCAAATTTAAGAGTAAAACCAATCGCGCTTGAGTCACCCGCGTTTTCCCGCGCTTGAAGACGGTTACATGTTTTGGCGCTAAATCTTTCCTTTGCTCAAGTTGGCCGCTGTGATTATTTTAGTTTTGGTTTCATGACACTCAAGGGAGGAGCGTCTATTGTTGCACTTGAAACTCGTTGAACTTACATCAGCATCTTCCAAGGAAGTGCTTCTGATGGAAAATCAAATTGTCGAATGGTTTTTATTATCCAATTAGCAATTGGTTCCTACGTCAACGTGGGTTCATCAAGATATGAAGCACGCGGGAAGTTTGGAGAGCACGAAAGATGCGTAAGAGTTCTCTCTAACTCTAGCTTCTTGAGTGCTCTCCAAACTTCCCAAGTGCTTCATATCTCGATGAACGCACAGCTGACGTATGAACCAATTGTTTTATAACATTTTCAACCCGATGAAATATTTTTCTTCTCGAGGGATTTGTTTGCTGACGTCACGAGCGTGCACAATAGGAATATGAAGCACGCTCGCGCAATTGAATTTGATTACACAAATTTACTAGCTATGTTATAATAATATTTATAAAATAATTCAAATAGTACGCGCGCTCTGATTGGCCATAAAACCATTTTACATGAGCGTATGTAAACACGGTTTTCGTTCCTCTTTCATTAGTTATTTTATAAAAGAAATGTAAAATGGTTTCCGTGTTTACATAGCCTGATGTAAACACGGAAACCATTTTACATTTCTTCATTCTTTACCCAGGGAGAATGGTACACTATCCACGTGCGCTACTTGGCTCGAGGGCTGACTTAACCAAAGGAAAATCGTTGTTTTGGTGAAATTGTTCAGATTTTCAACAGAGCATCTGTAATTTCTTCTTTAATTAGCGTTACACATGTGGAGAAGGCCAATGAAGCTTTGGCAATCGAAACGCTGCTTGTCACTGATGAACTTTTCAGGTCAGGAACGAATGATAACGATATCTTTTACAATTCAGTTCAGCTTATTTTCATCCTGAAAGAGCATGTTTTTCCTTTCTGCTTTGTAATTGAAAATCGACGGCGTATCTAAATGAGAACTCTAGAATTGATTCACATATTAACTACTCTCTCAAAGTAAAAATAATGTATCAGCTCAAAAAGTGGATAGTATTAGAAAATTGCACAAGGAATTGCTCAGAGTGTGGTGATTCTTTCAGCATGTTGCTAGGAAAAGAGGCAGTTTAAGCGCATCAGTTCTTTTAGCCCGCGATTCACACTCCATACGAAGTATCAACTCTCTGGCCCTTTGTCTTATGAATCTCAAAGTGCACAGACATACCAAATCAATAAAATTCAGTGTGTTGATTTTGGAAAGAGTTTGATAGGGTTTTTTTTTGCGGTGGCGATTCATACTGCTCAAATTGCGAAAGGTTTGGCAAAAACCTCAAATCAACAATGTTTATGGTGAAATATTACAACTGTACTATTTCTCTCTCTTTTTTTTCCTCGAATGTCTTTTTAGGTCGACAGATTTGCCAACTCGTAAAAGATATGTCAAGCTTGTTGAAAGTGTTAAAGAAAATGGCGGCGAAGTCAGGTTTGTTACGAGCTTCTAGTTACTAACGCGGTGGAATGTTTCAAAGTTTAGCAGTAGGACTTGAAAGGGTTTTAATTTGCTTTCATTCAATGCAGGGTTTTTTCAAGTCTACATGTTTCTGGAGAACGTACGTATGCACTTTTTTTGTACGTTGTCGTAATTAACGAATAATATCTTTCAATATTCGACGATCGAGCTCAACATTTGCCACCTTTCATTTTCTGTTTACTCACACGACACTTTCGGCACTGCTGGTACAAGCAGCAAGTAGAGTACTTGTCAGAGATGACACAACTCATGCAGAGCGGATTTAAGAATTTTTAATCGGGGGTCCAAAAATTACTTCTCAACTTACGCCTGCTAATTCCCCCCTTTCTCAACCCCCCCCCCCCCCCCGTTACTAAAGAAAACATCAGTTGAGTTGTAATATGCGATCCTGTCGTTGGGAGAGAATGTCGGTGTCAGACAAGTAATAAGAAAACCCCCCACGGGTTTGAATGGGAGGGGGAGTGGGTAGGGGGTTCAAGACCTCCTCGCGCCTTCCCTCCAGTTCCGCCACTGTTATGGCCTGGGTTCGATACCTCATAGGGAACATAGATTATTTTTTCTTCCTTTGCCTCACGCTCGTGACGAAACGAATAACGCCTTTCTTTAAATATAAGCTTCTTGTAATTTTTCATCATGATGTAAAATTTCCTACAACTTTATGTTTCTTATTTACGTCTTGCAGAGCTTGGCCAGTTGTCCGGTGTTGCGGCAATCTTGCGCTTCCCCATGCCGGACATCGCTGATGATGAAGGCTCCGCTGATTCTGAGGAGGATTAGTGAACTGTGTACATACATTTCTCAAAACTGGATTTAGAGCGCTTTTCCATTGAGTGTCGAAAAACCAAAAACTTAGTTATCACGGCGACCTATATCACAAGGAGCCAATGAGAACTCAAAGCTACCTCAAGCGCGGGAAACGTCAGTGACCAGGACGCGATTGGTTTTAGATTTGTATCTGATTGGCTGAGGGAACTGCGTGAGTTGTGTAGACCAATCACGTTGCGAAGTAAAGAAAACCAATCTCATCCTTGTTAACTTTCGACACCTAATTGAAACTCGTTCTGAAACACCCAAATATTTAACAGGATATAGCTAACAATATAATTATCCAAAACTCAGGGAGACAATATTTTTAAAACGTGATCTAAGATTAGCAAATTCCCGTCTATGTTAAACGAGCTTTTATCCCACCTGATCAACGTTTGTGATATCGTTACAAAAAGTTGTGGTCGTGCATCATGACAAAGTACACTTCTAGTGTGGTGCATTATCACTTTTCTCTCGATGTAGTCCATACCGATGTAGATCGCCTCGTCAACCTCATTCCCAGGTTTAGAGAGGATCATGAATCGAGGTTGATTGTGCATTGTGTAGTGGAAACATTATGATACTACATATTTATTAATGATAATGAGATTATTAATGGATGATAAAGAAGCCACAAAGATGGTTATTTCCCAGGCTGTGAGACAGTCTCTTGGGCAAACAGGTCATTCAACAGTAGATTTTCAAAAACATTTCAATAAAAAGAAAACTTATTGAAGCGAGGTTCGACCTTCCTCGAGAGCGATGTTTGAGACGACATAGAAACATCGAGCCCAGCAGATTTTGGTATTTGAATTGAAAACATTCATTGAATAAAAATTGTTTTTAAGCGTCAATAAAACAACAAACACATTGAAAAAAAAATTGGTTTGGTGCCTTTTGCCAAGGAATATCTCTTTAGCAATTAGTTAAAATTAAAAATTAAAATTAAATACATTTATATAGCGCCATCTTCCATTAATTGTCCATGGCGCTTTACAATACTCTAAAAACCGTAAAAATTAAAATCCTAAGAATTAAATACACTATAACTACAAGTAAAAACTACAAATCAAATGCACGCTTAAAAAGATAAGTCTTGAGATTAGCCTTAAAAACTGCCTCCGACGATGAAAGCCTGATCTGGAGTAGTAGTTTATTCCAGAGCCTTGGTGCCGCCACGGAAAAAAGTTTTCCAACATTGAAAATGTTAAAAAATTCGAAAAGAATTCAAACATTGATCAAGAAGAAATCACCTTTATAGCACAGATACGCCCATACCAACCCTGTGTGCGTGCTCGTGAATAATGTTATGTGTAATGGCTCTCATTTGCTCGTTGGCATACCTGTTTTTATGAAAATATTTAAACATGTGACGTTACTTTCACTTCCCAAGAAGATCAAATCTCCATTTTTCCTTCATCTAGTCTGTGTGAGACTCGTTCAGTAGAAATGATCGCGAAATCAGACCGGAGCGAAAAGCGGCAGCCTAAAAGAGGTAAACTTGCCGTCTTTTGTTAACTTTCGCTGTTGTTTTCGCTCGGCCTATTTGTCTTTTTCGATCGCTGACGGTGAGCCTGATCCAGGCTTTCCATGAATCATTAGTTGAATGCTGGGATATTCGTGAATTGATTTATGAGGTTATATATTCCAGAGGAATGCAGAGGAACTTCAGTGATGATTATTTACTAGATAATCACTAAGAGGATGACTCACTGGAATTAGTTTTAAAATGATCAAGCACTCAACCCTCTATAGTGAATTTCTTTTTCGAGAAAACCTGATTAAAATACCAGCCAATCAAAGGACTTTAGACTAAAGAATCTGCTATGTTCCGAAACTTCACGTTTTATTTTATAAAATCAACTTAATCTCCCGCTCTCTCTCACCGTTCTCTGTCTTTTGCTCTGGTCTCTCTCATTTTAAATATATAATATGATCCTATTGTTCAATCATCTGTCACTTATCGCAAAAAGTCAACCGGAAATCAATTAACGCTGAATAATCTCTCACACACTCCCCTGTTTTTCTCAACGGAGAAAAACACTAGAATGGCGCGCTCGATAAAATTTGAAATTCAATGAACGAAACAGAAAGTTAGTCCAGTATATCAGTTCAGTGTTCCTAAATATCTCTAATCGGCATCAATGTTCGCATCTTGAATGCGATAACGAGCGGCTACCGCTGCATCCCTCCTGGGCCTGAATGTCGGGGCTAAGGGGTTGAGCTGCAGAGGAGCCTGTACATTCTCCCGATCGCAGGACAGCTACAGTGGGTAAAGGTGTTGTACCGCCCGTTCAAGTGTTCCTTTCCCCGCTCGAAGTTTGGCAGCTCGAACGATTCCGTCTCGTCCCGAAATCAGATCTTCCACGATTCCAATTTTCCATTTATTGCGATTTCGTTCCTCGTCCTTGATGATGACTACCTCTCCTTTGGCCAAGGGCGTGGTTTGACCCTTGTGTTTCATCCGGTGTCGTTCTCTCAACCCTCGTAAATATTCGGTAGTCCACCTGGTCCACAAAGCCTGCTTGCACCTTCGCAAATATTTAGCTCTTCTACGCAGATCAAATTCTCTTAGATGGTGTGGTTCCAGTTCTGGTAGCTGGTTTGATCGAAGAAATAGCAGTGAGTTAGGGGTAAGCACGGGTAACTGTATGTCGTCTTCGACGTAACATAAAGGGCGATTATTCAAAGCAATCTCCACATCCAGTACCACTTCACACAGCTCTGTCCAGGTCAACATTCCGCATCCGATAGTCTTGTTTAAAGCTGTTTTTACCAGTGAGATGAGGCGCTCGAACTGTCCTCCCCACCAAGCGGCGCGGCTGAGGTTAAATTGCCACTTGATGTTCTCATGTGCTAAGTAATCTTGTGTCTTCTCGTCACGCATAACTTGTTTGAGCCACTTCTCGGCGCCAACAAAGGTTTTGCCATTGTCGGAATATATCTTCTTCGGACGCCCACGGCGCACGATGAGCCGTTTTAGACTTCTTAGGAATTCACTGGTTGCCAGGTTTGGTAGTACTTCCAGGAATAATCCTCGGATAAGACTGCACGCGTACAATGCAAGATAGGCCTTTCCTTCTGTTTTGGCTTGTTAGTCACTTGGTAAGGGCCTATCCCATGCGATCTTCGTGTCGCAGGCATCTCTGTAGAGCATTTTTCCAGAGAGGGTCACGGGTGAAGCCAGACCGAGTGGATCGTAGATTTTTTCGACTTTTCCAAGAATACCTCTTTTTGTCGGCTCAGCGGTTGAAATCGGGAAGCTGACTTGAATTTCGTCCTTTCCTTTGTCCCAGGGGACTCCTAGCAGTTTTGATTCGCCCTTTCTGGTTCCCAGTTGTTGTTTGGCGTAACTCTGACTTTCTTCATCTACAGTCGCAGTTTCAACTTCTAGTTCCCGATCGTTGGAATGCCACTTGTGCAGCTTGAAGGTCGCCTCACCAAAGATGGTCGTGGCTGTCATCTTGATTTCTAACGCTCGTTCTGTTGTCTCCCCACCACTGATTAAATCATCCACGTACATACTGCGCTCTATCTCCTCTACTAATTCCGGGTTCACCATTTTGTATCGCTGTAGATGTTCTTTGATAACTGCGGCCAAGAGGAATGGAGACGGTGCCAAACCAAAAAGTACTCGAGTGAATCGCAAGGTATCTACTTGTTTGCTTGCCAGATCCTTTATCCAATGAAAGCGTAAGGCATCTCGGTCTTCTCTTCGGACGCGAATTTGCAAAAATGCTTGTTTTAAGTCGCCAGCTATTGCCACGGGATAGAATCTATTTCGTACCAGCACGTTCCAAAGCTGGTTCTGTAGTGGAGGGCCGATTTCGAGGCACTCGTTGAGTGAGGGGACACTTGCTTTAGCTCTTGCAGAAGCATCATAAACAATGCGTATCTTTGTAGATTCTGCATTCTCGCGCACGACCGCTTTATGAGGAATGTAGAACTCTTTTCCGTCCTTGACCACCTCGTCAGCGTGTTCTACGATCCCTTGGCTCAGTTGAGTCTGGATAATGTCGTTGTACCTCTCCAGCTCGCCTTGTATCTCTAACTTCCGCACGAGATTTTTGAGACGTTTTAAACTTCCAGTGTGATTGTTCGGTAGGGGGGGGTGATTTCCTTTCCAGGGCAAGTTCGTCTCGTACCAGCCTTCTGAACTCCTAGTTAGTTGCTCTTTGAATTCTTCGTAAACGATTTCCTGGTCTCCACTTGGATTGTCCTTCAACCCCAAGACGTCTAACTTGCACAATTCTTCGTAATCAATTGCGGAGGTCTGCGTTAACAACATGTTGCTGAGATCCAACTCTGTTCCAGGTGACAAGATCGTCCAGCCGAACTTCGTGTATTCTGCTACTGGTTCTCCCGAGCGCCCAACTCTTGGTCTTGCCCCTGTTTTGATCTTAGCGTACTCGTTTGTTCCAAGGATCAGATGAACAGGCAACATCGCTTTCTCGTCGTTATCATTTGTGGTTACGCCCTTCAAGTGAGAAAACTGAGCTACGATTTCTGCGCATTTTGGGTTTTCCAATGTCAACAACTCATTGCGGTCGACTTTGTTTACTTCGGCTTCTAAGGTGAATTTACCATCGACGCTTCGAATTTGTAGGCCATAGATGTCTATCGCTTTGTTTGAAGTACCAAACATCATTTCAATACGCTTGAATTGTTGACGGATAGGGCGCAAATGTAAACAGTTCAGAAGCGTTGATGAAGCGTAGGAACTTCCGGCTCCTGTATCCAACAATGCTCGGCATTTAACACCGTTCACGTCAACTGTTACCATAGGATACACCACTCCTTTCCTTTCTGCGCTTGTTGTGGTCATCAGCTGGTCTCGGGATGTATGTTTGTCACAGATCGACGTATGATGTCTTCGACTGCAGATCTGGCAGCCAGAACGGCTTTTGCACTCAGAAGCACGGTGTCGACTTCCGGTGCAGTTAAAACAAAGCTGTTTCAGTCCTAATTGTTTCCTGCGGTCTCCAACTGTCACAAACTTGTCGCAATTCACAGCTCTGTGGTCAGTTGCGTCACAGTAGACGCACCCTCTTTGTGTTGGCGTAGTTTCGTTTGCGTGAAATGTTTTCTCGCGATCGCGGAATTTAGCACCTTGCTTTCCCGCATTATCCGCGCCACTCCCAATGGGGTTGATTTCCTTCCAACTTTTCAAAGCTTTTATCGACTGTGGGAAGTCCCAGTCCTGCCAGTCCACTTGTCCTCTCACTAGGTCTGCTTTTACACCCTTTAGTTTGTCGAGCACACTCCTTACATTTCCAGTGACGTCTTTCAATTTGCCCAGTGTCTCCAAAGATTGCACATTGTACACGAGCTTCTTGTAAAATTCGTGGATAGGCGCAGGTTGTGTTCCTGTAATGACAGGCAAATTCGCGATGTTCTGGACGTACGCATTCACGATCTCGCTCGTTTTCCCATATTCGCCGATGAGGATATTCTTTGCCCTTTCGTAGCCCTCTGTTGTGAAAGGCAGTCCGTCTATCTCCGCTCGAACCTTTGGATCTACCAGCTCTTTTAGGTATGCAAACTTGGTCACAGATGCAAGGTTTGCTTTATCAATTTCAGCTTGAAATTTGTTCCAGAACGGCAGCCATGCTTCATACGTCCCATTAAACTTTGTGATCTGTAGTTTCGGTAGCTTTGTTGTCCTTTGTTCAATCTGATTGGCCTTCTCAACAGGTTGCTGTTTTGCCTTGGTCTCTTCCAGTTGGCGTTCGAATTCTAGCTTCATCTCCATTTGCTCTCTTTCGAATTTAAGCTCCTCTTCACGAGCACGGGCTTTCCTTTCTTCTTCGTCCTTGTGCTTTCGATGTTCGATCTCTCCATTCGTCTCCACGAGCCATTTTTCTAGTCGCGAAACTTCTTCGTCAGCTTCGGCGATCGGTTCTTCAATGCTGCTGCTCCAACTTCCAACGTCTTCTGCACTTTTCCCGGCCTTGAACATGGTCTGTTCAACCTTTAGTTTAAGCGCGTCTACTTCTTTTACTAATGCTTGTAGGTTGTCGCGATGTCGCGCGACCGCTCCTATGTTTCCCTTTTCCACAATGCCACGTGTTTTTCCATTAGTGTACAGCAACATCTGCAATTTAGCCTCTGCTTCTTTGGTTAGTTCCTCCATGCTTCGCGCGTCCCGTCGGAGGTGCCACTGTGTCGGAAATGAGACTAAAGAATCTGCTATGTTCCGAAACTTCACGTTTTATTTTATAAAATCAACTTAATCTCCCGCTCTCTCTCACCGTTCTCTGTCTTTTGCTCTGGTCTCTCTCATTTTAAATATATAATATGATCCTATTGTTCAATCATCTGTCACTTATCGCAAAAAGTCAACCGGAAATCAATTAACGCTGAATAATCTCTCACAAAGCGTATTAACTAAAATAGTGATTGCCTTTATCCAAGAAAACCTGATTGAAATACCAGCCAATCAGCGTTATGACATATATTGCAGCCAGCTGAGGCCTTTTTCCAAGAAATTGCGGTTGAAATACTGGCCAATCACTGGACTTCATTTAACAAAAAGCGTGCACTGAAGCCCATAACGTGGTTGTCTTTCCGAGAAAGTGAATGTTGACAGACGCTGTTGTGAATATAACAAACTCTTCCGACTTGCAAATATAGTTGCCGAACTCAAAAACTGGCTTCCTTCGTGGATGAACCGCGTACCATGATAATAATAATCTTTATTGAGGAAACTTTTTCACAAAAAGTGGTTTTCGAAAAGGACCTCGAAAATTAAGACTAATATATATACATAAAATTAAAAGAAAAATAAAGGAATTGTAATTAAGAATTACATTAAGAAGTTAAAAACATGTCGCTTGAATGTATTAATATTAGCAGATTCTCTTATTACCTGGCTAAGTAAATTAAAGTCATTTACAGCATGATATGCAGTTCTTTGTTTCCTCCAGTTCCTCTTAACACTGGGGAGTCTAAGAAATAACTTATTTTTACATGTTTAATTCCATCATTGGTTATAAAAGTGTGACGTACGAAACCAAAATTCATTCGCTTGAGTTGGAACCTTCAGCAGTAAAAGCCATCACCCCATTGAGACCCTCCTTCTACTACAGTGAGCCCATAATTCTCAAATGCGACTTGTTTGGCTTTGACCTTGTAGCCTTGGAACACGAAGTTTCCCCGAATTTGGAGAAATCAGGTAAAGTTGACATCAATACTAAATTAAACGGGAAGCAAGCCTGTCAAGCTTGCAATTGTTTGTTATTTTTCGAAGAAAGGGAAGAACCCAAGCTATATAAAACTTTTATCATTCAAATAATCGCTCGGTGTTAGCGCCCTCTAGTTGCAAGTTTCTTGTAACTGTTAGAGGAAAAGAGGAAACAAAAAGGTTAAAGCAGCGCGAAATTCCGTTGGGAGTTTTCAAGAGAGTGCCTTCCGCATGCGCGGATCCTACAACGTAATTGTGGTCCGGTCCATTTTCTCCAGCTCTCTCCTCTTCCCATAAGAAATATGTTAAACTATTAACTATAACTATTTTTTATCACTGAAAGTCAAGCGTAGTCCTCTCTCTGATGTCATTTGCTTGTTGCCATATTCCATTCACTGTATTTAGTACCTTCAAAGGTAAGACAAGTGATGTAGTTATTTTCGAGCAAATTACCGATCCATTCCGTCCGTTTTTTTACGTATTACAAAAATTACTATTTTGGTCTTCGATCATGCAAATCACACTCGCATGAAAATGAAAAGCTCATGAGTACAACGGGTCAGTTTTCTTGCACAGATAGCTTACCGTTTAAAGACAGAAGCTTTATTTGTACTCTCGATCTGATCGATCTCGTGATGCAAATCCAACCGTTCCAAAAGGGATGAACACTGAATCCTGACGTTTCCCGTTAAACAGGGTAAAATGTTTCATTTTTCATCCTTAGTTATTAAAGTGTGACGTATGCAAATCACACCCGCTAGAAAGTGAAAAGTTCACGAAGACCAGGAGTCGATTGTCACGCACAGATAGTTAACCGTTTAAAGAAAGAAACTTAGGTTGTGCTGTGATCGATCTTGTGATGAAAATCAAACCTTTCAAAGAGGTCAACACTAAAGCCTGACGCTCCCTATTAAAAAAAAGAATAAAAAAGAATAACACTTTTCATTTTTCATGTTCAAAACCAAAATACAGTGTACTTATTGATTCAGTGGTAGGGTCGGACAGGAACTAATATTTGGCTCGCGTCAAGCGTGTCATGGTCGAGATACCCTTCACTTAAATCTTTGGATACTAGCGGCGGGTTCTACGGTACATATTTTCCTACAGGCCGTAATCTGTTTCTTCGTCTGTTAAAGCGCCAGAGTCTCGCATGAGAAGATAAGTCATGACGCTGCGCGCTCAAGAAGAGAGATGTTATAATTTTCTTAGAGAAACTGAAACTTACTTATATTCACCGTAATTGCATGCATAGTATAAACGTGCTTTTCCGCTGAACGGATGCTTTATATCTCTGCTGTAAAATTGCTTTCTTCAAACCTTTATGTTTTATACAATAGATTTCAACTTCATTAGTTACGATTGTAAAGCAAACTGATGGTTTCCACAATCAAGTGATCATAACCTAAAATCAATCAATATGTTTTCAGCCAAATACTTCAGATAGGTAAGCTCATTACTTGATGATAAACTGCTAGCACAACATTTTCAAATGTTTCCAGAACGTTTTAGTAGAAGGTTTACCAATCCTTTCTTGTTTGTTGTTGTTTTTTTAAGAAACCCGCCACCTTTAAAAACCCTCTAATTGATGGCGCAAGCCCGCGACGCATGACCATTAGTCAAGAGCGCGTTTTTTTGTTTTTTTTTTTTTCACTTGATAAGATGAACAAACGAAACAGCTAGATCAAAAGTCACTTGGATAACAGTTGACTTTCTCAGTGTGACAGTCACACAGTCCGTTTTCGAAAAACTGTACAGGTCAAACTTATTTGACAAGTTTTACCGAATGTGATCCGTTAATGTGCTCCAGTTGTACTTATCCACGCCTCTTCTTCACTTCTTTTTGCGTTAAGTCGATATTTTGAATTCTAACACTTTCAGCTCGTTTAAAGAAGTTTCCAGGTGTAATCGACTCAGCCCGTTTTTGTAACTTCCCGTATGGGTTCCTGTTTGTAGTGACTCATTATGAATCCAGATTAGCGAATCATTTGGTTAACTTGTGTTACTAAAAGTAATGTTTCCCTAATAACAGGAGATGATGGCAATGGAAACCAAACGACAGACGGAAGCCATGATACCTTTCATGTACATCGCGTTAGCATTTGCCCTGTTCCTGTTCAACTCAGGTCGCATTCAGAAAGCCATTGAGATATGGAACGAATGTTTGGTTTTAATAAATAAAACCGATCAAAACAGCAAAGGCCAATTTACCTCACTACTGCTACTAATTTACAAGGCCACTTATATTGCTCTTTTCAGCGCTTATCGTAGTATCTCTGACTACATCAGTGCGGAAAGATACGGCATGAAACTGCTTGTCTTACTCAGCGAGACTGGTGACTTAGAAACAGAAGGAGATATAAGCATGGCTCTAGCAGAGGTAATTGAGATTCAAAACAGGTTTACAGATGCCAAAAAACTTTATGAAAAAGCAGTTAATATAAAGAGACAAACTGGTGAAACAAATGGAGAAGCAAGCGCCTGCACAAGATTCGGAAATATGCTTCATAAACTTGGCGAAAACTTAAAAGCGAAGGAGTATCTTCAGAGGGCCCTTGCCATAAGAACCGAAATTGGCGACAGAAGAGGAGAAGCAGCTGACTACGGAAACCTAGGTACTGTGTTTCATTCGCTCGGGCAATACGACAAGGCTAAAGAGTATCTCCAAAAAGCGCTTGTCATCAGAACTGAGATTGGCGACAGAGAAGGAGTAGCAGCTGACTACGGAAACCTAGGTACTGTGTTTCATTCGCTCGGGCAATACGACAAGGCTAAAGAGTATCATCAAAAAGCGCTTGTCATCAGAACTGAGATTGGCGACAGAAAAGGAGTAGCAGGTGACTACGAAAACCTAGGTACTGTGTTTCATTCGCTCGGGCAATACGACAAGGCTAAAGAGTATCTCCAAAAAGCGCTTGTCATCAGAACTGAGATTGGCGACAGAAAAGGAGAAGCAGCTGACTACGGAAACCTAGGTACTGTGTTTCATTCGCTCGGGCAATACGACAAGGCTAAAGAGTATCTCCAAAAAGCGCTTGTCATCAGAACTGAGATTGGCGACAGAAAAGGAGTAGCAGCTGACTACGGAAACCTAGGTACTGTGTTTCATTCGCTCGGGCAATACGACAAGGCTAAAGAGTGTCTTCAAAAAGCGCTTGTCATCAGAACTGAGATTGGCGACAGAGAAGGAGTAGCAGCTGACTACGGAAACCTAGGTACTGTGTTTCATTCGCTCGGGCAATACGACAAGGCTAAAGAGTATCTCCAAAAAGCGCTTGTCATCAGAACTGAGATTGGCGACAGAAAAGGAGAAGCAGCTGACTACGGAAACCTAGGTACTGTGTTTCATTCGCTCGGGCAATACGACAAGGCTAAAGAGTATCTCCAAAAAGCGCTTGTCATCAGAACTGAGATTGGCGACAGAAAAGGAGAAGCAGCTGACTACGGAAACCTAGGTACTGTGTTTCATTCGCTCGGGCAATACGACAAGGCTAAAGAGTATCTCCAAAAAGCGCTTGTCATCAGAACTGAGATTGGCGACAGAAAAGGAGAAGCAGCTGACTACGGAAACCTAGGTACTGTGTTTCATTCGCTCGGGCAATACGACAAGGCTAAAGAGTATCATCAAAAAGCGCTTGTCATCAGAACTGAGATTGGCGACAGAAAAGGAGAAGCAGCTGACTACGGAAACCTAGGTACTGTGTTTCATTCGCTCGGGCAATACGACAAGGCTAAAGAGTATCTCAAAAAAGCGCTTGTCATCAGAACTGAGATTGGCGACAGAAAAGGAGTAGCAGCTGACTACGGAAACCTAGGTACTGTGTTTCATTCGCTCGGGCAATACGACAAGGCTAAAGAGTATCACCAAAAAGCGCTTGTCATCAGAACTGAGATTGGCGACAGAAAAGGAGAGGCATCATGACTACGGAAACCTAGGTACTGTGTTTCATTCGCTCGGGCAATACGACAAGGCTAAAGAGTATTTCCAAAAAGTGCTTGTCATTACAACTGAGATTGGCGACAGAAAAAAAGAGGCATCATGTTACGGAAACCTAGGTGCTGTGTTTCATTCGCTCGGGCAATACGACAAGGCTAAAGAGTATTGCCAAAAAGCGCTTAATATCAGAACTGAAATCGGTGATAAGCAAGGGGAGGCAGCAGATCTTGCAAATCTTGGAATTATGTCCAGAACTGTTGGAGATTTTGAAGCTTCGGAAGTATGCTTGGAGAAAGCTTTATCCATATCCAGAGATATTGGAGATAGAAGAAAAGCGTTCCAAATTCTTCAAGAATACGCTATTTTGTATCTTTTTCAAAATAAAGTCGAGGACTCCCTCTCGTGTCTTCAACTTTGCATTGAAAAGTATGAGGAGCTCAGATCTTTCTTGGGCGCCAATGATCAGTTCAAAACATCATTTCTGGAGCACTCAGGAATATTTCCCTACAAGCTGCAATGTACTTTGCTTTGTGACACCGGAAAAACTCGTGATGCTCTTTATGTTGAGGAGTTGGGTCGAGCTAGAGGCCTATCAGACTTGATGGCAGAGAAGTACTCGGTTGAAACGCACATCTCTGCTAATCCCCAATCTTGGTTTGGCATTGAAAACATTTTTAGAGAGAAAAACAACTGTACTTGTCTGTACATTTCTTATTTTCACAATCATCTGCATTTGTGGATCTTGAAAACAGGTGGAGTCCTTCACTATAGAAGGATATCACCAGAAGAGATTCTAGTTCAAGCTGGGATGCCCAAAGACTTGCCTCTGAGTGAATTTTTGGCTGATAATTTCCGGAGTCTCGGTATTTTGCCCATTGAAGATTGTGAAGATCGGTCTTTAAATATGGTTGAATTGCAACCTCTCTCCCCCGAACAAAAGAGCTCAGCAAGATTGCGACTCCTGGAGGAGGGTGAGGACGAGAAAGTCATTTCAAGTCTATATTTGTGTTACAAATTGTTTATTGCCCCCGTTTATCATTTGTTTGAGGAGCCTGAAGTGATTATTGTTCCTGACCGCAATTTGTACAAAGTTCCCTTTGCTGCCCTGAGTGAAAAGGAGGGAGCCGAATACCTGTCAGAGACTCATAGGATCCGTGTCATTCCTTCTTTGACGACACTCAAGACCATTCAAGATAGTCCAGAAGACTATCACAGCAACACTGGTGCCTTGATAATAGGCAATCCCAAGGTTGATGGGCTGCTGCCATTGCCAGGTGCAAGAAAGGAAGCGGAGATGGTCGGACGACTGGTGGGCGTTCCCCCACTGGTTGAAGAGGAAGCAACGAAGCAGGCAGTAATTGAGCGGATAAGTTCAGTGAGCCTAATACATTTTGCTGCCCATGGTAACGCCGAAAGGGGAGAAATTGCCCTCTCCCCCATTCCTTCTGTCAACAGTCGAAACGCTATCCTACCAAAGGAGGCTTACATGTTGACGATGGCTGATGTCTCACGAGTGAAAGTCAGAGCCAAACTGGTGGTACTTAGCTGCTGTCACAGTGGAAGTGGAGAGATAAAAGCCGAGGGAGTTATAGGAATTGCCCGTGCGTTCTTAGGATCCGGTGCTCGCTCGGTGTTGGTTGCGCTGTGGGCCATTTCAGACTCAGCAACAGAGAAGCTGATGAGTCGGTTCTACGAACACCTTGTTGAAGGAGAAAGTGCCAGTGAATCCCTTCATCAGGCCATGAAGTGGATGAGAAAAAACGGCTTGACCAATGTGTCTGAGTGGGCTTCGTTTACGCTGATTGGAGATGATGTTAAGCTCGAGTTCACAAACAGAGGTAAGACTCGGTGAGAACAAGTATTTCATAAATTAAAGTTAAATTAGATTTGAAGCTGGCTATGACTTACTGGTCGCTGACTGTCGGCGGGGATCCTTTGTTACCTTGAACATCAAGGCTAGTTTAATATATACCTATATATATATTTTTTTTTTCGAAAAGTTACTATAGACGCTCTCTGCCAATCAGATACAAGTGTTACCCATATACATTTTACATATTGTGCTTGGTATAATTGTATTTGCTTTATATCCTAAATATTAATCGAGTTAATAATAAATTGTTGTTTTTCGCTTTTTCACAGGAAAACAGACCCTGACAAAGTAAATAATGAGAGTTACTTGAAGGAAACAGAGCTAAAAGACTTTTAGATGGATAAATTAAATAGAAATAAGTAGAGAAAATACTCTATCCGTTATTTCATTGACGTTGAAAAAAAAAGAGCTATCCCAAATTAGGGTACGGAAGGCTTTTAAAGAAAGCGAAATCAGTAAAGTAGTTAGGTGTAAAACGAACCACTGAAATCTGGTTTGATTTTTTTTAAGGCTTTTGTAAGATTTAATTGACAAAACATGTAATTTCTGACGTTTGAGGGACATGAGAACGAATTAGTCAGAAATTAATATTCTGAGGCACGTTGAATAGGTTCGCATGGCAACACGGTAGTTTTGGATTATTTAAGCGTTTCGCGGGAAAATTAAGTCATTCTACGTCGGTCAGTCTTAGGTTTGACTACTTTCTTTTTTTTTTCTTTTTTTTTTTATTTAATGTAATTTTGTTTTACAACTCTCTGTAAAATATCACTGCTTTCATTGAATTTTCTGTGTGATTAGTAGTGTAACTAGGTTTATTTTAGTTACCCTTTCCTCGGGGTATAGTGCTGCTGCATTAGATGAGGAATACGTTTCCACATATTTTTTGGCCACTTCTAAAGAGTGGTTTTTTAGTGGTTTTTCGTATCTGGCGTAGCACAGCCTATTTTTGTATAACCCTTCAGTTTCAGTGAATACTTGCAGTACATTGAAGATTGTAGTAGGATGTGTAGACTACAAGATTGGGTGACTCATCCTAAATAAACTTTCACATTGAATATCTCGTCTGAAAGTAGTCAGAATCTTAAATATTTGAGGAATGATTTTGATGAAGCATCTCAAAAAGAATCCTTGCCAACCACAGTTCTGTTTTTGTTAACATACGGGCAAGTGCGGAGAAATTCTCCTGGCAGGAGTCGTGCCGGCCCGTGAAGACTATTTACTTGGCTTAAAGAAAGGATTCGCAAAAGAAGAAAAAAATCAAATCTGACGCGCTCCACATTTAATAAAAAACGTACAGAGCTTAAAAATACGAAAAAAGAAGGGAAAGAGGAGACCTGACGAAGTTCTGGGGAAATACATGTCTAGAGTTGTCTGCTCCAATAGAGAAGGGTCACTTAAAAAACAAAGGAAACAGCACGCAGAAGAAAATATTGCCTTTTGTAATGCAATATATCACCCGGCTTTATCTAAACGCAAGAAAATACTGATGGGTAAATGGCACCTCATTCAGAATTACATCGGAAAAAAAAATCATCAAAATGTATCCTGGTCTGGACTAATCTATGAAGACAGAAGTATAAAATCGCTTGCAGAAGCGAGAAGTGTTAGGCAGGCTCGTCAATACTTCAAGTTTTAACTGGTTACTTGCCTCTTGTGATATGCACCCCGCGCGAAGCTTGTGGACGCTTTGATGTAGAAAAATCTCTACAAATCGGCTATTGTTTAGATCTCTGATGCTACGACTATCCTTCCTGTCATTCCAAAGCTTGAAATTTTTAGTGTGCTCCGTGGCTTTAGGCCCTCCACGTGAAGGAACGCGAGATACCATTGATGGTTTTAGTTACAAACAAAATTTCTCAAGAAAATTGCTAGAAACTGTTACACAACTACCCAGAATAAATCACTGATAATTTCAGAACGCTTCCACGACAATTTAGAGCTCAAAATATATTTGAGTCTGTCCAAGAGAGGACCGGGCAGGCGTGATACATGCCATCTCACCGATTGCTTTCAAACTTTCACAGTTTATTAGGATCATTAAGTTATTCGAGAATCCTGAGTAGATCTGGCTCACAGCTTATCTCTGGGGTATTAGAGCCCCCACATCAAATCCCTGGGGTAAAAGGCTGAAATTAGCTCGAAAAATGCACTTCCTACAAATATCTCTCACGCTAATAGAATGCGATGGATTTTAATCTTATTTTGTTCAATAGTTGTTTGAACCTTAAGACAATGAATTCCTAAATTTGGGGTAATTTGCTTTCGTTTTTGCTGATTTAGAACAGTTAACCATTAACCGGAACTATTCAAAAAGATAAAAAGGTGGGGATTTTTAATTCTAAATATCTCTAACGGGCAAAATTGTGTATCGACAAACATATGATCATAGAAATAACCTATTTTATTGTTTTTTTAGAGGGGCACGGTAACGAATCTTGCAATCTGATTGGTTCTTTACCCGGTCAGTATTTTCCTATCTCTGCCCACGGGCCACGGTAACGCTTTCGTAAGTCGCCGAGTACATCCCAACTTTCGTTGTCATTTTTCATAAATATACCTCGTTTTCCGGCTGGGCAGTATTTTTAAGCAAACACGTCGGTCACTACCTCAAGCCGATAAATAACTTATGAATCCTCTCTTTTCTCTCTATCAAATCACTTTGGTTGACAGAAAAATATTGGTTTCAGAATGAATTTGTATAAACAATAGTGTCATTACGTTGGTTGACAAGCGGCCTAAAAACCTTCTGCAATTAATTTTAATCGTTCACAAAAAGTACTCAGAAAGTTGGAACGTGAGGTATTTGGTTACAGTTAATTTTAATCGTTCACAAAAAGTACTCAGAAAGTTGGAAAACTGAACGATGGAACTTTCATTCATTTAATATCTGAATTTTCTCGAGCAATTTGTTCATAGTGAAAGAGCGAGCGAAGTTTTAATTTAAGTTCTACAACAAATATACGCTCCTGGTGAGTCTTTCCAATTCCGTTCAATTTGGACATTTGTACCTTAAATTGCACAACAGAAATTGAAGGAATTTTTTGAGAAAAGGCCGCATTACATTCCCTTGTGTCTCGTTGGAGTGTGCCGTTTTTTTTGCCGAATTTAGTTTTTGTGAAGGAAAGATCAGAGTTAAACACGCCATTACAGCAAACAAACGAGCAAACTCTCACAACTTCAAAATAAAAAGATTGAATTTACTCACAATTAATTTCCTCGCCGTTTACTTAATGAACAGAGGTAAATCTTCGTACATGAATGAATCGTCGATGAGAGTGAATAATACTTTCCGTTAGATCATTAACTGATTTTGAAGAAAACATTGTCGTGACAGTCCTTGCCAAACTAGTTTTCAAATGTTCCTTCGTTTTTCTTTTTCTTGCGCGCTCTCTAATTGACAGGTGTCAGATTGTGACAGATACTTGTAAAAATATTGTTTCAAAGTTTGTTTGGAAGCCTTTTAAATCACCTTTATCGTTACGGAAATGAAAATGTTTCGCTGAGGCATCTCTCTTAAATTTGCATCACCTCTATTTTAACTACCATTTACCCACTCAAAAATTGTTCAGTTTATGGAAGATCTTGCCGTATTTACGGCCATAAATCATTCGGGTTCTTTCGGAAAGAATTTCGTCAAGTTTAAAAACAATAAATATGTTATTTATAAGGGTCGGTCCGTATGGTGAAAAACTGTGACCGAGGGGTTGAAAAGGACTTCTGCGGTGTTGAAAAGGCTGCCCGCGGCCGTCGGTCACAGTTTTTCACCATACGGACCTCCCAGCCGGCAAATAACATATATATAACACTATGTTTGTGGGCAAAAAAATTTGGGGGCTCTATAAAAGATGCGTGATCACAGCCCTCTGAAGTACGTGACCGTTGACGTTAATTCATGCAATTTTTGCCATAAACTTGATGTTTATTCAGTCAATTTCATGGTGGCATTTCAGATTTTGTCTCCACCGAGCACTTAGCGCTGCGCGATGCCTTGGACAAACGGTTTCATCGGCCTCGTCCTGATCGAATAATCTTCTGGCCAAAATAAGTTCCTTTTCTGACCGAACACATGTCTGAGGCACCTTCAGCTGTCGCAGGTGAGATTTTACATCTTTCTCACAGGAAAACAAAGTAAAAAATTCATTTCCACCTGGATACCTCGCTGATACATCGCACTTTGCGTCGGAATATGATACAAACGAACATGACAATTGGAACATGATAATTAAGCCTCTTTTCTTAATAGCCTAAACAAGTTGAAATTTAAAAACATAAGTCGAACTTCTCCAGTAAAAGAATCAGTGCAGACTGAGACTACATGGGAGATGACAACGAGCGTTCATTAGTCTTTATTTACTTCTCGTTACAACAATGTTTACACAATTCTTATCAAAAGATCTCTTAGTTGATGAAAAAAAAACTTAATTCAGTGTGTGATATACATTTACTTAAAAAAGGCCGAGAGGTGTGTCCCAGGATCAATTGTCACGCGATTGCACCTTTATTTACGTGACCTCTTCCGTTTCCCCAGTAAGAAATTTTTTTCCATTTTCAGCGCCTTCATGGGTTTTTTAAAACATTAACATAAACTTAATAGGTGTTTAACCCTTTATCCCCTGTGGGTGACTTGTATCTATTTCCACCTTACCATATCACCCCTGAATCAAACATTAAAGTCAGGAGAATGAAGAAACTGATCACCTACCAAAGAAGCTCTTGGTTGTTAGACAAATTCTCCTTGTCAGCACCTTAGGAAATGTTTAGAGATCAGTATAGAGAATATGCATACTGATGTTAGGGTGTAAAGGCTTAAGGTAATGAAACATTCTCAAACGCTTTTAGAAATGCCCCTATAGACCGTGCATGAAAACGAGGCTATTAAATAAAACATTTTACTTCGTTTATTATTGAAGAAATGTAAAATGGTTTCCGTATTTGCATAGCCTGATGTAAACACGCGGGAGGTTTGGAGAACTCGAGATAAGCGTAGGAAACCACGACGCGAAGCGGAGTGGTTTCCAGCTTATCGAGTATGACTGAAGAAAGAATGAAGAAATGTAAAATGGTTTCCGTGTTTACATCAGGCTATGTAAACACGGAAACCATTTTACATTTCTTTTATAAAATAACTAATGAAAGAGGAACGAAAACCGTGTTTACATACGCTCATGTAAAATGGTTTTATGGCCAATAAGAGCGCGCGTACTATTTGAATTATTTTATAAAGGAAAATAGCACCAAAATAGAACCAAAGATGTAAGACCCTTATGTAAATCTATGTTCTCGTTGATGTCTTAATTAAACGCTCAGTTAGTAACTCACGTGACTAAATGAGC